GTGTGTGTGTGTGTGTGTGTGTGTGTGTGTGTGAGAGAGAGAGAGAGAGAGAGAGAGAGAGAGAGAGAGAGAGAGACTTCCTACAAAGGTCAGAAGAGGGTATTGGATCTCCTGGAGCTGGAGTTATAGGTAGTTGTAAACCGGCCAACATGGGCCTTGGAAGTCAAACTCTAGTCCTCTGGGAGAGCAGAAAAGTACTCTAGACCACTGAGCCATCTCTCTAGCCCCAAAATCCACATGTCCAGGAAAGAGATAAAATACTAAATTAGGCTCTACCAGAGTTCAAGATAGCCTTTTATAACCAAATATGTTAGTGTTTTATAGAAAAAAAAAATTTTAAGTCACATTATCTGGGATAAAATAATAAATAGCCATGTACCAGTTTCCGAAACAAGATTTTGTGCCATGCTTAAAGAAAACTCTTGAGAGATGTATGGCTTTAGAAGCTGTGAGTAGGGGTTGTGAGCCGGGGTGGTAGCTAAATCACAGCTCGTATTCTGTGGCACTTGCCTTCCCCCTTGGCAATCCTGCTCCCTGAGTCTTTCATACCTGTTGAGTTTCTTTTTTATTATTTATTTTTCCACTTTTCATATGTGTTTGTAGGGTCCATATGTGTGTGTATTCATACTTTTTAATGTGTGTGGACACATGAGTGTGTAGGTATGTGTGCAGGCCCTGGGTTGTTGCTGGGACCCTTCCTTCATAGCTCTTTCTCCTTTTACCTTGTTCACTGAGGCAGGGTGTCCCAGTGGTTAGTGTTGGAGGCCAGCCTGCTCTGGGTTCTGAGGCTGAAACTGTGGGTGGGCTGCCACACTCTCCTGGCACATATGTGGGCTTCTGGGGATTTGAACTTTGCGCAGCAAAACGTTTTAAACCCTGAACCATCTTCTCAGCGTACCCACTGGGTTTCTGTCTCATTCCTGTGTTGTCTGCTGACTGACAGCCATGACCTCGTGCTGCATACAGTTTTTTTTTTTCTCCTTAACCATAATACGAATTATCCTGCTCCATCTAGTGGCCTCTGCAGTGACCTCCCCAAGCTGCCTTGTTCCTCCTGTACAGACTCTGGTCCCAACTAAACCTCTGAACAAGCGTAGGCAGAACACTGACGCACTGGCAGTGTTTACTGCAGCCGAAGCATCTCCTTTGAGGGGTTTCCCTCTTTTTTTCTCTTTCCTGTGCCTTCCAGTGACTCCAGCAGAAACCCTGCTTGTCTCTCCAGTCAGAGATGTTACCTTCGGTCATGCAAGGCAGGTGTCGCTGCCCACAAATGGCCATCAGCGTGAGAACCAGAATCTCAAGACTTTCTTATGCTTACAGGTGATGTCACAAGAGCCAGCAGCCATTGTATTCAGGTAGCAATCGCTGAGTGCAAGGGCCACAGACATATGGACATGGGGGGGGGGGGCAGAATTTGGCTTATATCAGGCTGGCCACAAGAAAGGCTGTTCCAAATGATCTGGAACCCTAGTTCTTATCCTGCTCCATCTAGTGGCCTTGAATATGAACAACCACCGAGCTCGCCTACCAGCAGAAGCAGCTCTCCCACTGCTATGGTAGATCCCCTGGAAGGCGAGTCTACACTTTAGCTTTGCAGGTAGAGAGCTCCCCTCCACTGCCAACTGTCCACTGTTAATTACAGCTTGATCCCATCTAGACCCACTAGACTAAGGACCCCTCAGTACCAGGGGTTGGTGTGTTAGCAGTATTTCACTTCCAACATTCAAAGGAGAGATTGTGAAACTTGTGTCTAATTGATCAGGATCTAACCCCACTCTGTCTTGTACAAGGCCCTCCCACAGCTGCCTCTTTGAAGAGCTTAACCCTCTCCAAAACACAGTCCACTTCTCACACAGGCAAGGTCACATATACACGGATATTCATTACATAATTATTACATAAGAAATAACCCGAACATCTAGCAACAAAGATGTAAATAATGTTATGTAGATAGTGAAAACGAGGCAGTCATTGGCAAAAGCTGTGTGAGTATGCATTTGTTGGATTGAAAAGGTGCCCAGCACTCAAGACTTTATTGGTTCAAGAAGAAAACATAAGAAGATTTAAGCACTCCCAGTGTCCTAGAATGCTGAGATAAAAAGAAACCAGTGAGATCACAGACTCTTTTAATGTTAAACACTTTTCATTCATCCACCCAGTAATAGAACATTCAGTATGTGTTGAAGAAAAGTGGGTTACAGAACAGCATGAGGAATAAGAATAAGATGCAAGTTCTTTAAAAAAATAATAATAATAAATATATGCATACAAAGGTGCCTGGAGGGATGTTTCATCAAAATATTTCTCCTTAGGATGTAGAACTGGATTCATTTTTATCTTTGTCTTTATGACTTTTCCTGTATTCTTGTACATATTTATAAAGATTTTGCACTACTTTTGCAATATGAAAAACATCGTGGGAGTTCTTTATGTTTTGGCAAAAGGGGCAATACCCGAAGCAAAGAAATTCTCATCAAATACCAGTTACATGGAAACTTCCCAGAGTCCTTTTGGTGCTGTTCATGATTTACATACCCGCCATTAATAAATAAAGTTCTGAAGGCCATGCTAAATGTCGTAGAGCATAAAATATAAAAATGCCCTCACCTGTTTTCTAAGTAAATACCAAAGAGCACTTGAGCATCAACACAGTGCTTTACAGTTTCAAAAGGCTTTTATTCCCAATGTCTCATCTGACCCTCAAACAAGCTAGCTGCTCAAACTGAGTCTTCCCGTGTTTCTTGGGTCACCGCCAGTCGACATTTCCATGTTGGCACCATTGTTGGTGAGACAGATGGATGGATGGATGGATGGATGGATGGATGGATGGATGGGTGGGTGGATGGATAAATGAGTGAGTGAATGGACAAAAGAATGAACTAGCACACCTCTTTTGCTGACAAGAAGACTGAGAAGCAGCAGTGAAGCAATATGCCTCAGTGGATATAGTCAGCATAAACCCACCAGATTGGACTTACCATCTTTACTTCCTTTCATATAAATTGCTACCCCAACTCAGTTATTCTTCAGAAGAAAATACCTCAGTGTTATAGGTAGTATTGACAAACAGGAGTCTTAGTCAAAACACCCACGGCACAGGTATTGACCTAAGAAAAACACTACCAGCCCCAGCTACCGTACAGGCTCTTGAGGCTTTCCTTCTAGGCCAGGCCTTACTCATGATTGTTGCATATAAGTGGATTCTGAGTATCAGAAGGGCATTCTATGGGCTTAATTAAGGAGCCATTTGCTTCCTAGTATGTAAGTATTTCACTATTTTAGCAACTAAGAGCCGTACATCAGCATGTACCATACTAGAATCCCTCACACAATAGAAGGATTGCTACTCATAGGAGAAACTGCCCTCTTCACTTTTACAGTACCACCAAAAACACCTACATCCTGGTGATTCCAGTGTTCACCTATAAATAGAAGATAATGCCATTACTTTCTTCTCAACATTATCCTGAGATGTGACAAGGGCACAAGGAAGGAAAGAAGAAAATAAAATGCCAATCATTAAGAAGTATGCGAAGTGTTGCAAGACCAGCCTCATGGGGAGCCCAGCATTCCCTGAATACTCATTCTGGAAAGCAATCCGAACACCCCTAATTCTCAGTGCCCTATAATCCAAGAGGGCTGGGAATCTATCCATAGATGATAGCTACTAAGATATAACAAGTTGAAAGTTCCAAGAAGACAAGAACTCTGGGAGGTCCGAGGGAGAATTTATTCCCACAAGAGTAAATCTAGAGTCTGCGAGAATAAAGCAGCCTTGGCCTGGGTCTTCAGGGATAGGTGGTGTTTGTAACCCGGAAGGAGAATGCATCCTCAGCCCTCAGTCCTGCCTCCACTGACAAAAAGTACAAGATGGACATAATGTACATATTTACTGACCTTGCTCTGCCTCATCTCCTCACCTTGTGCTATCTAGATCTTCCTTCTGGAGCATTCTTCTTCACTGCGATATTCATCTCCACACTCAAAAATATTATCGACTAGTCATTCTTCCAGCTTACAAGTATACCGTTGCTACAAAGGAGTGGCAACATTCTCTCAGAACATTTTCTTCATTCCCCCAAATGGGGACATTCCTGCCCAGGCTCCAACGTTATTCTTAGCACATTTCCCGTAATCTTTGCAACGCATAAGCTTTCACTATTGAGCGGCACCGCCAATCTGTAAATATTCTGTGAAAGGGACTTTCTGTGGGCCTGTAAAGCACCATACCCGTGTTATGATTAGTAAATATTCAATAAGCAATTGGTTAAATTTCAAATATTATTCGTCGTCTTGATTCCATACCAGAATTTGGAGCCTGTCCCTGAATTAAGCTTTCATATACTTATGTATTTCTTCAAAATCACTTTGCAGATGAAAATATACAAATCAGCTCCTTCCATCCAGCCCAACACAGATGAAGAGCCAAGATCTTCTTAAACTATGGGCCTAATAGCTGTTGCCTGTGAGGCCATCAGGCACCACCAAGCCAAGGTTTTAGCTCTCTGTGAGCAAGTCTGCCTGGGATGAAAGCCCCATGAACAATACACATGCCAGAAGAAGGTTGGAAAGGTCTCAGCTCCCACCAAGTGATTGCCAAGAAACTTGGCAGCAGAAGATAATGGCCATGGGGAGGAAGAAAACGAGGCACCAAGTCAAATGACAGTTTAGTCTAATAACATCAGAAAAATCCCCAGTTTGTAATCAAAGCATTTAGTAACTATTACAGTCTAGCACAAGGGATGAAAAGAACTTTAAAAAAAATTGTTCAAATTGATTCTCTCCAGTAATGAGAGCGATTATTAAAGTAATATTTATTTTTCTCATCATATACGGAGAAGAATGTCTTTGAAGTGCATGACCAGGCCCAATTCCTGTGGCCCATGGCCTTTGCCTACTGAGCCTTAAACCTTAGTCACTTACGGAGGAAGATCCTTACTCCTTGGTGCCCTGGCTACGACCACCCCCGGAAACCTTCCATTAAGAGAAAGTATTTTTACTTGGCTTTAGGTGGCTTCTCCATTCTTCCTCTTCTTAGTGGATCCTCTGGTCCAGGAAATAGCAAAATCCTGGTGTCTGGTTTTATCTAGGTCCTGGACACAGGCTTTAAGTTTCAGAGTAATCTGGTGGGCGAGGCTACCTGGGGGTGTGGCTGAATCAACAAGGCTGGCTGTGTGTGGCTACCCAGGGCAATCGAAGGGACTAAGTTAAACTGGTCCCTGAGAGAGGACCAACCTATCAAGCTTCCCAGCCACTCCTGATGCCTGACGTGCTCCATGGCTCCCTTCAGTGATTTAAATGCCTTTGATCCTCAAATCTTAGAATTATGTGATGAGACCATCTCATCCCAATGAGAGTAAGATCGCCAATTCTCCCAGAATAAGGCTGTCGAAGCTTTTGTAGAAATGGAATGCTCTGCCACCTTCCCTGTTTAGAATAGTAGCCACTAGTTCATATAACTGTAGGATGTTTGTAATGTGGCTAGTGCGATAGGATAAATTTATATAAGCTAATGCAAATATAATCAGCCACATGTGGCTATGAGCTAATGTTTAAATACCACAGTTGAAAAAAAATCCTCAAAAAGTTATTCCTAAGGGGAAAAAAAAAACCTAATAAATTATTGGGACCTGTGATTCCCAACCTTTGTAGTTGTGATAGCGTTAGGTCTTCCCAGTGCTGTGGTTAAGCCAAGTGCACACGAAACAGTCTTCCACTGAGCCCTGTGAGACTCATTCTAAACACTAAAGATGCACGCAGCCTTTGCTCATTCTAACAGAACAGTTAGCATGCATTAAAAAACATTATAATGTCTAAAATGAACACAAATTCCATTACATTTTAAGTTAAAAACATTAAAGAGATCAAAACTAAAAATTCCGTAACACCTGTAATTCAAAAAGCGTGATGATCCAGGCAGTAAAAATCCCATACTTTCAACCACGCCATATGCTACCACGTAACTACCACAGACTCATGAAGCACACACATGGTAGATGCAAATACTGGGTGATTTTGCTCTGCCATCATATGTCTCTAACGCATGGATTCCCAGAGCCTCACAGCCACCAACGGCCATTCCCAGAGTGAGGAGCTCAAGGGACGTCAGGGGCTTGTCCAACCTCTGGTTTTAGGAAAGGAGTAAGGGAGGGAGGGGATACAGGAGGAGCGGAGGGATGGAGAGACAAAGACAGTGACAGAGACAGACAGACAGACAGACAGAGAGAGAGAGAGAGAGACAGACAGACAGACAGACAGAGAGAAGCCCAACAAAAGAGGAGCCCCTCAGGTCATACAGCAAGTAAATGAACCGTTCAATGAGCCAGTACTCAAACTCCAAGAGCCAAAGAAAAGAAAGAACTACAAACTTACAAGGGACAAGCATATGATTTTACTGAAAATTCTTTTCTATCCTTCTATTGTAAATAGTGAGAAATTAAAAAAAAAAAAACAAAAGAATTTATACACATAAAACTGCAAAATGAACCATTAGCATAAAAATGCCTGTCCAAAGAGGCCTATGAGAAACTGAACCAGCTCCATTGACATTTTAGTGAAATTCAATAACCTCTGATATTTTATTTTAAAGCTTTTATTATTTCCCAGGTCTTTGTGGGTTTTTGCTCATATCCGTGGGTATTGTTCCAGAAACAAGCAATAAAACAAAGATCATCTCTTTAAAATAAGCCAGCTTAAAAGGTTTTGTTTGTGTATCAGTTCTTTTGAGAATTTCCTATTTGTTCCTCATACACTCAGAGGTCTTGTGGGTGCAAAATTCTATAGATGTAGTGCAGTTGATATAGCCATCAGCTTTGACACCAAATACACCAGGGATGAAGGCTGGGATTTGGCCTCAGAGATTTCCAGGATTTTTGTTTGTTTGTTTGTTTTTTGTTTTGTTTTGTTTTGTTTTTTTGTTTTTTGTTTTGTTTTTGTTTCTCAAGACAGGGTTTTTCTGTGTAACCTTGACTGTCCTAAACTTGCTTGGGAGACCAGGCTGGCCTTGAACTCACAACCATCCACCTGCCTCTGCCTCCCTGAGTGCTGGGATTAAAGGCGTGCTCCATCGACGATTATTTTTAAACATTGACGATTTCTCAATGGGTTTGGGTCTCGGATATCTTATCTGTTAAATGGGTTCAATCCATCACCTTGCAGTTTGTGAGAAATCAGAATGCCACATGCGCTCTACAAAGATCAAGTACTGTGAGCATGTGGGCGTGTCCTCCCAGCTCTCACCTTGGTGAGTACTGCACTGTTTATCCTAGAAACTACTAATAAACAGGAAGCTAGGCGTTGAGGTTCGGTGAACTCCCTTATTTGTTCACCGCATGCCAAACAGCTTCTCCACTGGCACCAGAAGCCAGAGGCAAGCCCACCATAAACCTAGGGTGTGTGGTAACAGCGGAGTTCACAGGGTACATGCCAGCTGTTCTCTCTACCAGGATAAATTTGCCCTGTGGTTCTCTGGAATGAAACCAGTCTATTTGCAAAAGAGCATGGGAATTCAAAACAACTGTACTCGAAGCAGCCTAGCATAAGCAACAGCTACTGTTCTCAGTACCAGGAGCCCTGAGTGGGAGGGTTTGGTCTCAGCATTCATAGCTATGTGAATATAGCTTTCTTCTTAAAAAAAAAAAAAAATCCAGTGATCACAGGAGCCGTGTCTGTCACAGCAACCCAGCATGAACTGATTAAACCAACAGAAAAATGGGGGCAGAATACAAAGCTTGAGAGACCTGGGCTCAGACCTGTAGCTGTTTGACCTTAGTCAGTCTTTACTGCCTCTGAGTCTGGGTCTCCATATTGGAGAAAATGAGGTAATAAGCATGGTGGCTGGTGGATCCGCAGCAGCTAATCTCAAGTACGAGACTGTGCCTGGGCCACAGCAGCTGCTCGGTAAGTGATGGCTGCAGCTGCTCTTACTATCCTCGGTGTCATCATTGCTACCTTTGTCTTAAAAGGATAAGTCTCAAAGATGTTTGATCACAGCAATTACAAGGCATCCCCTAACAGTTTAATCTCCTTGTTAATATTTCTGAAACTGGTTAGCCTTTTCTCCTGTGTTAATTGCTACTGCTCTTCAATTTTCTACCTGAAATCATTTGTTTCCATTACTTTCACTATAACAAACAAAATAAATTATGAAGAATGTTATTATTGGCTCCACCACGATCATTAGCATCAGCAATATCATCATCACCATCATCACAGTCATGGTCATCTCCAGTTTCCATTCTACTGCATGTGAGGTTTGGCCACACTGAACCACTTACCTGAGCCCTCAATGTCCATCCAACCAAGAGGCCAAGTTAGAGCTCAGACTCTGACATTCGTGATTCTTACATCTTATCATCAGCTTTACAAAGTAACTGGACTTTCTCCTCACTGCCACTGCCTTTACAGGTCTTAAACTAATTCGTTTTTAAAGTGGCTCATTTCATCCATATGTGGAACCTAAAACATCATTTTCTACATTTTTACCAGGGTCTACCCAAATGTCATGTACTTAACCATTCTTTTCTGCATGGGAAGACATGAAGAACTTTTAGATGAACTCTGTATTTAGTTTTTGTTTACTTGTTTTTTTTTTTAAACCTCAGAAAATATTTGTCTTATTTTAAGCTAACAGGGGCAATGCTTTACTTAGGGACTTTAGGTTTTAAGAAAGAGCTAATTTAGTCAGTGATGAGGTGAACATGATTTCAAGGTTTCCCACTGAATTGAATTAGGTTGAATAATAAAAATAACAAAAAATAAAACACCAAAGTTGCCATAGGACTGTGTACCAGGGAGAACAAACTAAGGATACAGTCACAGAGTGTGGTGTATGCAGAGTCCTAGATTTTCTTTCTTGTGGTCTACTGCCTCACCATCTTTCACCCTCCATCCTCTGACCACCATCTCACCATCCTCCACCTACCATCTCACCATCTTCCATTCACCATTCCACTTACCATCCCACCATCCTCCACCTACCATCTTGCCATCTTCTACCATACCTCACCATCTCCTACCCACCATCCCACCCACTTCTGTTCGCCATCTCACCATTCACACCATCTTCTCATACAACTTCTACCACCTTGTTGCCTGTCTTTTTTTGCTACCTATCATCTTTTCCCTGACTGCCTTCTCCCATGCAACACATCTGCCTTATTACCTTTGTGCCATTGACTGAATGTCTTACTCTTGTCCCCCATTCAAATTCCCTTAGGAGTTATAGCCCAGATCAGCTAATAATCTTTTATTTGCTCATTGTCCGAATTTGTGCTCTGGGCATGGAGGACATCCTAGACACTGATCAGCAAGTTTGTCTACTGCTTCTGAGTCACATGTGGTTTGATGTATCAAATGTGGCTGCCCAGGGTAGAGCACTCAGTGAAGGTAGCGAGCAGGCAGGTTCATTCTAATGAGAAAGGGTAGTGAGCCACAGGAGGGACCATGATTTCCACTGTAACAACCTGGTGAATTTCCACTCTCTCTCTCTCTCTTTTTTTTTTTTAGTATTTTTTAATTAAAATTTTTTATATTAATTACAGTTTATTCATTTTGTATCCCAGGTATAGCCCCCTCCCTCATTCCTTTCCAAACCCACCCTTCCTCCCTCATCTCCTCCCATACCCTTCTCCAAATCCACTGACTGATAGGGGTGGTCCTCCTCCCCTTGCATCTGACTCTAGCTTATCAGGTCTCATCAGAACTGGCTGAATTGTCCTCCTTTGTGGCCTGGCAAGGCTGCTCCCTGTCACGGGGAGGTGATCAAGGAGCCAGCCACTGAGTTCATGTCAGACAGTTCCATATAATATAGGATAAACATACTAAAATCTATACACCTAAAGAAGCTAAGCAAGGAGGACGACCCTGGCTAAGATGATCAATCCTCACTCAAAAAGACAAACAGGATGGACATTGGAAGAAGGAGAAAACAGGACACAGGACAGAAGCCTACCACAGAGGGCCTCTGAAAGACTCTACCCAGCAGTGTATCAAAGCAGATGCTGAGACTCATAACCAAACTTGGGACAGAGTGTAGGGA